AAAGTAAAATCATTGTTTCAATCAAAACCCAACTCATAAAAACCCAGCATCATATATAATTATCCCAAAATCAGAGTATCATAAAATCTCCAAAACATATCACCGAAAGGACGTGTATAATCACACGTTCATCTTGTCCCAATAATCTGAAGTACCTAAAACATAAAACTTAAACTATAAGTCAAAGTTTAGTGAGTTTCCTAAAAATACCACACACAAAATAAAAACAAACTTATACACTTGGCCCACAACCTATGTCTGGAATACCCCTACCAGGCCCACAACATGAGTTTGGAATGCCCTTCCCGACGCTCAACCCATGTTTGGAATGCTCTTGAGCCCTTAGAATGAGTTTGGTATACCCCTACAGGGTCCTCAACCTATGTCTAGAATGCTCCTAGTTTCTTGGCCTTCTTCACAAAGCATAATTACCTCAACCCAAACCGTTACAATATGTCGACATGTGCACATAAACAAATATTCAACAACTAACAAATAATCTTGCAGATCTAACCAATCACTACAGAATAACAACATCTTAACCAGTATACATAACATAGTGGACTGACATTGGTGCCTTCGACCCACGTGTACAGTGAGGAAAACTCACCTCACAATCTAAAAATAGCTGGACATATCACTGCTCCAGATGTTGTCTCCACCAATCACCTATACAATAAATGGAGACCTAATCTCAACTATTATTCAAATTACCCAAAATACCCCTAATTCAGACTTGGTTAAATTCCTGGTCAAAGTCAAAGTCAAAAAGTCAAAAGGGTCAACACAGATTGAGTACACCTTATGTACTCAGTCACTACGCTCGACGTAGTAGATTCTTGGCCAGATTACGGGGCCTCTTCCCAGTACACGCTGCGTACCACTAGGTGCGCCTGGTATACACAACCTGAGTCTACTTTTCTCATTAAGTGATTATTACATTAAGACATTACTTCCATAGTTTATATCTAGCCCTGAATATCATTCTAAGTCATAAAGTTTCCAACTTTATGACTTTTGTGGCTAGATAGAGTCCAAAAACCAAAACCCTAACTTAATACACAAACCTAAGCACCATAACTCTTGCATGGACGGAAAAAAGGGACCAAGATCACATTTTTATGGTTCCTAACACTCAAAAACGTATGAAAGGACAACTCTAATGGTTTAGAGTAAGCCATATTCATGAATACCAAGATTATGAGACCAAAATGCATAATAACTTAAGAACTAGCAAGATCTACGAAAACATTCATCAAGTTCATGACTTTATACCTTCTCAAGGTTGCTTGAAAGGTGCAAATCCCAGATATACAATGCTTGGAGCTTCCTAAATGCATTCTAAGGATTGTCTTCCTTCAAGCATAGACACAAAGTAAAAAATTGCTCAAAAACTCATAAGGAACACTAAGGTTTGCAAGGGGTCGTTTAGGGAGGATGGAGGCTGGAAGTGGAAATGGTTTTGAGGGTTAAGGTTACATACCCCATGAGTATGTCCAATGTACTCACATGCACCTGTAACCACTTTTAATGAGCTACCTCATGCGTATGCACCAAGTACACATGATGTAAGGACCAATCTTGAAACATATATATATATATATATATACTTCTGGGGTAAACTAGGAAAATACATGATGTTGGGTGTTACATCGATACCCTCAATGAACTCATCTTATGGCGATTTCAAGTTAACCATTGATAAGGAAACCCCAATAAATGATGTTAATGCTTGTTACCATAACACCGTATTCCCGAGTTCAACTTAAAGAATGAAAAGAAGGAAAATGGATGGAAGTGAAAAGAAAATAAAAGAAATTAATGTTTCAGAGTTTCATTAAAGGATGAAAGTGGAAAGAAATGGAAGAAAATATTTTCCTCATAACTTTCCTTTCAATTTGAAAGGATTTAAAGAGAAATAAACTATTTTTATGTTCTTTTGGTTATCAAGAATTAAACTATTTTTTATTTTTATTTTGAGCCCTCTCATATAATATGATGTAATTTTTTTTAAAAAAGCCATATTTTAGTTGTTAAATTGAATTATTTAGTTTATACTAGAAGTTTTTCCAAATATTAAACCAAGTAATAATAGTCATTGCAATAGATACAATTATTTTCGAACTTTTAACAAATTATGTTTTCCTTTTTTCAAAGTGGTAAGCGAAAATTAGAAAAGTATATGTGCTTCATAAAGCAACTGATGCGACTGTTGAAGAGAACCCAGAGTATACGGGGTAACACATTACACACGGTGGGTGTTTGAGATTGCTTATAAAATTTACTTATTGGCTTTTCCAAAAAGCCAATAAGCTAAAAATGTATTTGGCTAATTCAAAAGTGCTTTTAAAAGGGTTTTTTTGGCAAGGAAGGAAACACATGTTTTAAAAAGCCAGGCATTGTTGGCTTTTTGATGGTATATTGCTTCTTATAAATAAAATTACATTTATACCCCAACTACACTAATAATGACATTCATTATTCACAGTTGAGAAAACACCAACAACACTTGCGTCGTTCTTTCCCGTGTGTCGTTCTCCTCAACACAATTCTGTTTTTTTTTTTTTTTTTTTTTTTTTTTTACCATTGTAACATCCCAAAACATGACGTAAAATTTTTCATTTTAAATTATTAGTTCACATAGTATTTATCCAAAAACCCATTGTAGTATCAAAAGTGTCGTAACTATCAAATTACAATAATAATCATCAATGCGGAAAATCATCAGGGGATAATGTTGTGCAGTCAAGTCAGACCATTCCCTTTAGAACTGAAGATACCTGAAAACATTCAAACCACTAATCGTAAGCACAATGCTTAGTAAGTTCCCCAAAATACAATATAGTATACATACATTGTCATAAGCTACCCTCATGATCTTGCATACAAGTATCATGGGTTAGCCCCATGGTCTTTCATACCATTGTTATGGGCTTCCCCATGGGCTTCCCTTATAGTGCCTTGGCTGCCCCCATGATCTTATACACAAGTGTCATTGGCTACCCCCATGATATTTCATACAAATGTTACGGGTTACCCCGGGGTCTAAGTACACGTTGCACCAAGAAGTTCAAAGTACACGTCGCACGAGTAATGATGATTCGTATATAGCAGCGATATGATATATTATCGCGCAAGATATAATTAAATTGAAGAGATGAATGTAATATGACGTTACCTATGATATTTTTTATGCATTATTTACAATTTGTATTCTATTTTTGTATGAACGTAATTTTTATTTTATCATGGTAAGAAAATGTTTGAAAAAAAAAAATATTATACGATTTGTAAAAAAATGTTTAAAAAATTGAAAATTTTGTTTAGTCATTTTATAAGTAAAAACCAAGTCAAATACTTTTTAAAAGTTTATTGATTTTATTTTATTTTTATTACTAAAGCTTGAGGGAGTAAAAGATAACATGCTGTACTGTCACGTCATTTTAACATTTTTAAAGTTTGTCATATCAATTTTACTACACAACATAAATGACATGATATTTTTAAGGGGTGGATGAATTTGATAAAAAAAATAAATAAGTAACCACATTCACATACACATTCTTTCTTCTCTCTTTTATCAATACTAAGGGCACCTCCAATCCACTTCCAAACTTTATTTCTTCATCCATTCTTCTCCAATTCTATCTCATTTTCACTTCTATTTTTTGAGATATGAATAATATTCCCTCATATATGGGGGAATACTATTAATATCTCAAAAAATGGAGGTGAAATTTGGTTGCCAATTTTAATCTCGTTTTTATTTTATACATTTATAATTTATTTTATTTACTAATTATAATTTAAATGTAATATTTAATATTTATAATATCATATTATATACTAATTTATATTAATTAATCATTAATATAGAGTTTAATTAGTAAAAAAATGTATTTAACAATATATAAGTTATAAAGATTAAATATTCTAGAAATATATTTTTTTGGGGTAAAAAATGAAGTAAAAAATAAAGTAAGATTAGAAATGAAAAACTATTTACATTATTTTTTACTTTATTGGAGAAAAAATAAAAATAAACCGTAGTCTAAAATACTATTTGGAGATGGTCTAAAATTTTATTTGATTTGATTTTACCATTATGTCATACTACCTTTGACTCAATGGTATTTATATCACATGCCAAAGAAATACCTAAATACTTTTGTCACCCAGTGGCTCCCTCAAGCCTAATCCAAACTCTTTAAGTAAGCCCAATAAGCATTTGAAAAAAAAAAAAAAAAAAAACCCTACTTCCATCAAAAGGTGGGGAATAATTGAGCCTCCTTCATATATCGGTTTTTCTTCCTCATCGAATCACTTTGTTCACATACACACTTTCCAAAGCACTAAAAGCACAGGCGCATCCGCGCATATAGTCGACCTCGGTACGTTTTTGTTGAAATTTTTTCTCTTTGTTTATGGATAATTGGTTTTAGTTGTTTATTGTTTTGAATCCATCGGTCGTTGAAAAAGTATCTGGAAAAAATGTTTGATTTGCTACTCATTGTGAATTGTTCGTGGATGCTCTACAGATAAAATCAACTAAATGTTTAAAACTATAAATGAATGATAATATTAGTATATTAGGGCATCTAGGTTTAGGCCCTTAGGGTTTAGGAAATTTCATCTCAAAAGAATGGGATAATAGATTCATTATAGAAGCTGAAGGGTACGATATCCCAAACAACTGGATAAACACCGATTTGGATCAACTGATCCACTATATCCATGAAACAATTAAACACACAAATCTTAAGGGTTCGAAGCTGCAAGTAGCAGCTGCCTCTTATATGTATCGACCAGGCACATATTAGCAAGATAATCGAATGATGAGTGGGTTGAGATAATCAAGAGACAGTTCACAAGGAACATTATTAGCAAAAAAGTCAGCATTAAGGCTAATAAATAGCTTTGCGACCTTTTATTGTCTTAGAGAAACTCATGAATCTGAATTTGTTAGGTATCTTTTCAGTACACCTTTATCTTACACAGGTATGCATGCATATAAGCTGTTCTGTTCTTGTGTGCATAAGTTGAAGAAGGATCCAAGTTGGCTACTTAACAATCTTCATTGTCATCAATTTGCATCAGCACTATCCTCGATTTATGATATCTTGCAGAATTGGGAAGAAGGATCACCAAACTTCAATCCTGCTCTCAGATATGCGAGATTAGGTCCTGAATTCTTCTCGAATCTCCAAACAAAATCGTTTGCTGATTTAGTCTACTGTTTGGCTTGTATTATGGAGAACTTTGTTCAATCCATTGACAATGACCAGCCTACTAACATTGTGCAGTGTGAGCGATCTTGGTTTAGGCATAAGACCCTTAGGGTTTAGGTTAGGCCAAGGGGCCTTTATGTATCCCTATTTATATGAGGTTTAACCCTCGCTATTAATCAAACAATATTTTATATAACAGATAATGCCTCATCATTTTCCCACTTTTGGTTATTGAACAATGTTTTGAACAATCTATTATAATGCTAATTATACTATGGATTATATATATGATATTTGAAACATGATAGTTCTGCTGTGAATTAATAATGAAAATATCCATGGATACATCGACGTATACCTATTAACAACCTGTAACAGTTTGATCCCCTTTTTTTTAATTTGTTACATGGTTTGCAGGTCTCTATAAAAGCTAAAATACTGAAAGATGGAGTTTGTAACAGCAATCATTAGCCCGGTTATTGAATCTATAATGGTTCTTGTCAAGAAACAGCTAGGATATATCTTTTACTCCACAAAACATGTTACAAACATGAATATTAAAATGAAGCAACTGGATGCTGCAAGCCTTGATGTCAAAAATCACATGGAGGAACAATTGAAAAGGGTTGTAGAAGATAAGAAAATGTTTGATTATGTTGTGAAGGTGGTTATTGGGCAACAAATTGACATGTTTTCTATTCAGCAAACTGTGGTAGGATACATAGGTGAACCCTCACTGAAACGATTAAAACTATTAGAGCGGATCGTCTTCATATAACATTTGGGAACCCTCCAAAAGATAGAAGCAAGGTTTTAGTGATAATAGATGATGTATGGGAGACGATCGAACTCAAAGATATTGGACCGAGTCCTTTTACCAACGACTTCAAGTTGTTGCTGACATCACGAAATAAAAATATTTGCAATAAAATTGCAGTAAAAGCCAATTTTGATATGACACTAGTAAGAGTGGATGTGATGGAGGAGGTTGAAGCACTGAATTTCTTTTGGCAAATCATTGGAGTTTCAAAACAAGATGATGTGGAGTTGAATCAAATAGGAAGTGAAATTGTGAGAAGATTTGGTTTTTTGCCCCTTGTCATCAACTTTGGTAGCCTTTCCAAACTTAGAAACTTTAGCTTCTGAAACTTAATTCCACCATTCTTACTATGTGCAAGTACTTCCAAAACAGGACACTGTGAAACTGTAAGGGCACTCAAGCTTCACCAAACCACTTGCAATAGGGATTGTGAAGAGGTATCCTAAGTTTCCACACTTGAAAACATCAAGGACTCTTAGATTATTAAACGTCTGTTGGAAGCGATTCCAACTGATTCCAGTACAACTTCTTGAAGATCATTCATACCATCCACTTCTAAATAAAGCACCTGGGTTGTGGCAACGAGTTTGAATCAAACTTATTGTCACAACCCAGATGCTTTATTTAAAAGTGGATGGTATGAATGATCTTGAAGAAGTTGTATTTGAATCAGTTCGTCTTCCTCAACAGACGTTTAATAATCTAAGAGTCCTTAATGTTTTCAAATGTGAAAACTTAAGATACCTCTTCACTATCTCTATTGCAAGTGGTTTGGTGAAACTTGAGCGCCCTTAGAGTTTCACAGTGTCCTGTTTTGGAAGTACTTGCATATACTGAGAATGATGAAATTAAGTTTCAGAAACTAAAGTTTCTAAGTTTGGAAAGGCTACCAAAGTTGATAGGTCTTTGCAACACTTCTAATGTAATTTAGCTACCAAAGCTGGTGGAATTGAAACTCGATGGCCTTCCTAATTTCACTACCATTTATCCTGAGAATACATCTCTGCAACATTTCTATGCCCAGTAACATGTCTTACAATCAACCATTCTTGAACAAAGAGGTACCTCTATATTAGTATTTATGCTGACAGTTTCATAGATTGTCTTGGTAATTAAAGTCAACATGTCTTAATTATTGTGCAGATGCTAATTCCTAAGTTAGAGATATTGAAAATTCTTGGCATTGATAAGCTGAAAGAGATATGGCCTTGTCAATTTAGTGGTAATGACGAAGTTAATACCTGCATGTTGAGAGAGATTCATGTGAAGGAATGTGACAATCTTGTGAATTTGTTGCCAACAAATCCAATGTCGCTACTGCATCATGTGGAAGAGATTAGTGTTTTTTCAATGTGGAAGTATTGAAGTGTTATTTGACATCGACATGAGTTGTGTTGGTGAAATCGAAGAACACAGTAGCAACTTGAGATACATTTGGGTATGTAATTCACAAAAGCTAAGAGAGTTGTGGAGGATGAAAGGTGAAAGTAGCTTTGATATCCTCATCCATAGCTTTCAAGCTGTTAGAAGCATAGTAATAAGTGGGCGTCAGAGCTTTGTAAATATGTTTACACCAACTGCCTCTAGTTCTGATGTGAGAACACTTATGAATGTGAGTATAAATGGTAGGAGACCTTGGGAAGAAAGCAAGAGAAACATTGAATTTGCTCAGAAAAGCTAAGAGATATGTGATATCATTGAGCTTTTTATTTCTATTTATATTTTGATGTTCGAGCACTTATGTATGTGTTTATATACCACATGTAATTTATATGTATGTATTCATATGTGTATGTAAATGTGATAGAACCTAGCTGAATCTACCCGATAAGATAATAATTCTAACATTTGCACTAAAAGAAATACTTGATAAAATTTAGATAATCCCTTTCGAGATGTGGGTATCTCCAATGAAAGAACAAAGTTCTATAACGTAATTCTTAGCTGTTTTTCTCTACCTTCTAATTGGATATATATCACCCGTATATTATTTTAGAAATAACTAACAATATTAAAGGGGTGTGATGGTTGGTTTGAATAGTCAAAATGGTTGTGAAAGGTGTATGAATGGTTGTGATACTTCATAAAGGGCAACTATAAATATGTGATGTATTCTGATGTAACCATGTGTGATTAATAAAAGTTACATTGATATGTTTGTATACTAAATGCAATTTTCTTTTATCCCATTTATGATATGATGTGTCCATTTCTTGTGTTTGGTTAATCTGTGACCAACTTAGGAATACTTACACAAGTTTTTCTTGATCGGTTTGTACATATTCCTTTATTTTAATTTTTTTAAATAGAGCATAAATTCATGGGTTGAATCCTGAAGGTGCACAGTATGATGATCCATGGATGAAACTTACTTATCTCATACCAGACAAGAAATTAAGAAAAGAAAAGCCATGAACCTAATTTGCTATAACATGAAATTTCCCTTGATTCAGCACTTTATTCTTGAAGAAGCAAGTCCCTTTGTCTCTTGTACGATGAGTGTGTCACCCATGGATGCTTTCTTGGCAAAGAAAGATCATAAAAACGGGAAGAAAAAAATAAGTATGTCCTTAGTTTTAAGACACTGCAATCATCATAACATTATCTGAACTTCTAGTGGGAATCACTTTATAGGAACAAATGATCGTATGTAGAAGAAAGTTACTGAAATTGACCCTATGTAACATAACGAACAAAAATGGTCCCTAGTAGGAAACAGACAAAAATACAGAATTGGTTCCTATGTAGGAGAGAGTTACATTAATCGACCCTATGTAACAAAATTACAGAAGTTGTCCCTTTGTAAGACAAAATTACAGAAATGGTCCCTCCCTGCAACTTATGGGTTTAAACCCTCTTTTAATACAAGATTTAAGCTTCAAAATTATACTCCAACTATCCGTTTACAAGTTTAAAATGGTTTAAAATATGAGTGATGAAAGGACGAAGCTGCGAAGCTTCCTCAATTATCGCTCGATTTTGAGTTGAGTGGACCAAATTTTGAGGCTTCAATTTCAAGTTGAATTTTTGAGATTCTGCATGATTTTTGTAGCAAAAGGAACAGATCTTGCAAAGTTTAATTAAAAGACTAAAGACTTGCTACATCATAATGACAAAAAGTGGATCATATTCGGTAAGAACTTACAATCTTAGTTGCAATCTCAAAATCTCAGTACCGATTTAACTTGGAAAATATCCTGGTGTGATCGAGATTGTTTTTTATTTATAGGATTTCACAATCGTACTATCTTAAGATCAAGATTAACATCTTAACAACCATGAACCCACTATTCATTACATAAAATAAGTTGAACGTTGAAGTGATTATACATTAAAAACAAACCATAACGTAAGAAAAATTATTAGAGGTTATTGTTATTTGTTTTTTTATGGGGGTTACCCCCCCCCCCCCCCCCCCCTCTTCTCTCTCTCTCTCTCTCTCTCTCTATATATATATATATATATATATATATATATATATATATTATATATATATATATATATATATATAATACTATAACATAAATATATATGAGTATTTCAACCATCTAAACCTTTTCAAATCCCTGGTCCGAGAAAACCAATGGGGAACGATATGAAATAATAATAAAAGACCCGCTCGGGCAGGAAGATTATGAATGCTTAGACTGCTGAGAGTCTTCAAATAGAACCTTTAGAATCCTTTTTTGTAAAAATATCAGCAATTTAATACATGGGACATGCATAACACCGACTTGTCGTTTTGCTAATGGTTCTCACACAAAATAAACATCAATTTCAATTTGCTTTCGACGTTTATATTGAAGAATATTATCCGATAAATAAATAAAACTGACATTGTCACAAATCACAATAGACGGATGTGGCTTTTGTGATAGGAAATAACTTGAGTAGTAAATTTCAAATACAACATTGTCAATCCCTCAATAGAACACTGTTAATATATCATCTCATTGTGGTACAACAATTTACAAAAACACAGAATTTTCAAATCCAAACTTCACAAAAACATAAAAACACAATCCGTGAATGAGCAAAGATATAAAGTCATCTTTTTTAAAACTTAAAAGAAACTATTGTACTGACTAGTAAGAGAATCCTTAAGATTTTGATAAAGCCCAAACAGAGAGTACTGGCGAAGGTTTTTTACCTCATACCATGAATTAAAAACCGATTCATGTTTATCAGTTCCAGAAAACGCAAGTTGTATTCCAATGCTACAATCAACTGTTCCTCCTCTGTTCTTACAAGAATTAGTCCTGATTGCACAATCCTGATTGTTAAGGCACACAAAGTTGCTTTTCCCATGAAAAACACCCATCTCTTTTCCAAAACAAGTTCTGTAGTCTCCCCTTTTGGAATTCCATCACCTTAGTCACAAAATTATAAAATCTTTGCTTTTAGTGACGCCCAATGAAATAGTGACACGCCAGCGGTAATTGATATGATTATGATCTTACTAGGGTGAAACTGGTGACGATGTAGGTGATGTTTGCAACACAAGGCAGGGATTGATCTTGCAGCGTATTTTCTACCAACAAATGCCACCATATACCCACCAACTTTATCCTGTGTCAGTCAATATATCATTAAGGGTAAAATGGTCATTTACTTCCCATTAGCACGGTTTACAATTTCTCTCTTCTACGGTTTTACCCTCTTCATATTCCGCAAGAACAATCAATCAGGTATTGTTAAATGGATAGTAATAGACTAAGATGTCAAATGAGGTGCTTGAATTCCATTAGGGCAAATTCTATTCTTAAAGTATCAAAGGCATTTGTTGATCAAACTAAAACCAAGTTGCAACTTTAAACAATTACTTTTGTTAGAATAGAAAACAAACAGAAACATAAACTACAATAAGTTTGCCTTTTCTTCTTAGTGACAGATGATTATAGCTTTTTAATACATTACCCTCTCAAGTCATTATCCCTTAAAAAAATATCTATGTTTTTGGAAAAAAAAAAGTAAGCATATAAACATTTTTATATATATATATATATATATATATATATATATATATATATATATATATATATATATATATATATATATATATATATATATATATATATATATATAGGGTAAATTACATCAATCGTCCCTCGTGCACATACCAGAAAGCACGTTTAGTCCCTATTTATAAAAATTAACTCGGACTGTCCCTGAGTTTCTTTTTTCTTGCGTGCTTGGTCCCTATTGATATGAAATGACTATTTTACCCTTAGTAATTTCTTTTTCATTTTCTTTTATTTATTTATCAGTTTTAAATTTAAAAAATAAAAAAATAAATCAAATATCCCCTCTTCTCTTCCATTTCCCCATCTTTGCAACAAGGTTCTCCACAAATAACCCACCACCACCTATCACCGCCTGCACCTCCGACACCACCACCTGTCACCGTCATCTTCTCCGGCACCACCACCCATCACCTTCATCTCCGCCAGCATAACCATCTATCACCTCCAATAACTCCTCTCACTAAAAGCTAGATATGTCACCACATTTCATTTGCACTTCCGGCGACGCCTGAAGTACCACCCTTCATCTATACTCCGGCCAAACCCTTCTTCTCCGCACCACTATCATTGTGATCTCCCTCACCCTCACCGATAGAAAAGGAACAACAAATCTGCTATTTTCTGCCTTCATCTTTGATTTTAAACCCTAGATCCACCTCCACCTCAGTTCCAAACCCTAGATCTGATGTACGTTTCGCTGGAGTATTACCTGAGGTTTTCGTGTCGAATTTGTTAGGGAGGAACAAATTTTATTCAGTTTACAAAGGGGTTTTGTGGGACAGATTAGTTGTGGAAGTGTACGAGTGTGAAGAGTTGCAAGGCTAAGGAAGGTAAGTTTCTAGTGGTTTTGCAGTCTCCCTGTGGTGGTTCGGGCCGTGGTGGTGTTAATTTTCATTGATGGTGGTGATTAAGTGTTCTTCAAACAATAGACAGAGAGAGAGAGGATTCGCCAGAGATGGTGATGGATGTAGAGAGGGTTCATCGGAGAGATTATCCACCGACGGTGGCTTAAGGATGAATGGCTATATGTTTTTTTGAAAACTTTAGAGAAGAAAGACAGTAATGGGAAGGTGGGTTGGGTGGGGAGATGGGTTTGGATATGAAGTGGGACCATATTTTTTTTCTTTTTATTTTATAATTAATAATAATAACAATAAGATAAATTTAATTATAAAAGAAATACATAAAGGGCATTATGGTCATTTCAAATATGGGCAAGGACTAAAGTCACAATAAAGTCGCATATTAGGGACGAAGCATGCACATTTACAATAAACGAGGGACGGTCCGAGTTAATTTTCAAAAATAGGGACTAAACGTGCTTTTCGGCACTTGGACGAGGGACGATTGGTGTAATTTACCCATATATATAGAGTAAATTACACGAATGGTCCCTATGGTTTAGGGTAATTTGCACGTTTGGTCCCTAACTTATTTTTTTAACTCGGAAAGTCCCTACTGTTTGTTTTTGTTACACGCTTGGTCCCTATCTTACCTAAAAAAACTATTTTGCGCTTGATTTTTTAATTTATTTAAATAAACATACTCTCAACCCCACTCCACTCACCTTACCCTACCCATCCCATCATCTTTCCCTAATCAAATAATAGTCTTTTTAGATAAGATAGAGACCAAACGCGTAACAAAAACAAATAGAAGGGACCAAACACGTAACAAAAACAAACAGTAAGGACCTTCCGAGTTAAAAAAGTAAGTTAGGGACCAAACGTGCAAATTACCCAAACCATAGGGACCATTCGTGTAATTTACTCCATATATATATATATATATATATATATATATATATATATATATATATATATATATATATATATATATATATATAAACTTTCTCAAAAGGTGGGGAATAACCGAGACTCCATATATTGGCCTTTCTTCCTCACAAATCGAATCACTTGTTCACATACACACTTTCCAAAGCACCAAAAGCACAGCAAGCCTTAGCACAGGCGCATATAGTCGACCTCGGTACGTTTTTGTTGAAAAGTTTTTCTCTTTGTTTATGGATAACTTGTTTGAGTTGTTTTTTGCTTTGAATCCATCGGTCCTTGACAAAGTATCTGGAAAAAATGTTTGATTTACTACTCATTACGAATTGTTCGTGTATGCTCTACAGATAAAATCAACTAAATGTTTAAAACTATAAATGAATGATAATATTAGTATATTAGGGCATCTAGGTTTAGGCCCTTAGGGTTTAGGAAATTTCATCTCAAAAGAATGGGATAATAGATTCATTATAGAAGCTGAAGGGTACGATATCCCAAACAACTGAATAAACACCGATTTGGATCAACTGATCCACTATATCCATGAAACAATTAAACACACAAAGCTTCAAGGGTTCGAAGCTCCGTTGCTAGTAGCAGCTGCCTCTTATATGTATCGACCAGGCACATATTAGCAAGATAATCGAATGATGAGTGGGTTGAGATAATCAAGAGACAGTTCACAAGGAACATATTAGCAAAAAAGTCAGCATTAAGGCTAATAAACAGCTTTGCGACCTTTTATTGTCTGAGAGAAACTCATGAATCTGAATTTGTTAGGTATCTTTTCAGTACACCTTTATCTTACACAGGTATGCATGCATATAAGCTGTTCTGTTCTTGTGTGCATAAGTTGAAGAAGGACCCAAGTTGGCTACTTAACAATCTTCATTGTCATCAATTTGCACCAGCACTATCCTCAATTTATAATATCTTGCAGAATTGGGAAGACGGATCACCAAACTTCAATCCTGCTCTCAGATATGCGAGATTAGGTCCTGAATTCTTCTTGAATCTCCAAACAAAATCGTGTGCTGATTTAGTCTACTGTTTGGCTTGTATTATGGAGAACTTTGTTCAATCCATTGATAATGACCAGCCTACTAACATTGTGCAGTGTGAGCGATCTGGGTTTAGGCATAAGACCCTTAGGGTTTAGGTTAGGCCAAGGGCCCTTTATGTATCTCTATTTATATGAGGTTTAACCCTCACTATTAATCAAACAGTCTTTTATATAACAGATAATGCCTCATCATTTTCCCTCTTTTGATTATTGAACAATCTATTATAATGCTAATTATATATATATATATATATATATATATATATATATATATATATATATATATATATATATATATATATATGAAACATGATACTTTTGCTGTTAATTAATAATGAAAATATCCATGGATACATGGATGTATACCTATTAACAACTTGTAACAGTTTGATCCCCTTTTTTTTAATTTGTTACATGGTTTGCAGGTCTCTATAAAAGCTAAAATACTGAAAGATGGAGTTTGTAACAACAATCATTAGCCCGGTTATTGAATCTATAATGGTTCCTGTCAAGAAACAGCTAGAATATATATTTTACTCCACAAAACATGTTACAAACATGAATACTAAAATGAAGCTACCGGATGTTGTAAGCTTTGATGTCAAAAATCACATGGAGGAACAACTAAAAAGGGTTGCAGAAGATAAGAAAATGTTTGATTATGTTGTGAAGGTGGTTATTGGGCAACAAATTGACATGTTTTCTATTCAGCAAACTGTGGTAGGATACATAGGTGAACCCTCACTGAAACGATTAAAACTATTAGAGCGGATCGTCTTCATATAACATTTGGGAACCCTCCAAAAGGTAGATGCAAGGTTTTAGTGATATTAGATGATGTATGGGAGACGATCGAACTCAAAGATATTGGACCGAGTTCTTTTCCTAACGACTTCAAGTTGTCGCTGACATCACGAAATAAAAATATTTGCAATAAAATTGCAGTAGAAGCCAATTTGGATAGGACACTAGTAAGAGTGGATGTGATGGAGGAGGTTGAAACATTGAATTTCTTTTGGCAAATCATTGGAGTTTCAAAACAAGATGATGTGGAGTTGAATCAAATAGGAAGTGAAATTGTGAGAAGATGTGGTTTTTTGCCCCTTGCCATCAATTTTGGTAGTTTTTCCAAACTTAGAAACTTTAGCTCTTGAAACTTAATTCCACCACTCTTACTATGTGCAAGTACTTCCAAAACAGGACACTGTGAAACTGTAAGGGCGCTCAAGCTTCACCAAACCACTTGCAATAGGGATTGTGAAGAGGTATCCTAAGTTTCCACACTTGAAAACATCAAGGACTCTTAGATTATTAAACGTCTGTTGGAAGCGATTCCAACTGATTCTAGTACAACTTATTCAAGATCATTCATACCATCCACTTCTAAATAAAGCACCTGGGTTGTGGCAACGAGTTTGAATCAAACTTATTGTCACAACCCAGGTGCTTTATTGAGAAGTGGATTGTATGAATGATCTTGAAGAAGTTGTACTGGAATTAGTTCGTCTCCTCGACAGACGTTTAATAATCTAAGAATCCTTAATGTTTTCAAGTGTGAAAATTTATGATACCTCTTCACAATCTCTATTGCAAGTGGTTTGGTGAAACTTGAGCGCCCTTACAGTTTCACAGTATCCTGTTTTGGAAGTACTTGCACATAATGAAAATGGTGGAATTAAGTTTTAGGAGCTAAAGTTTCTAAGTTTGGAAAGGCTACCAAAGTTGATAGGTCTTTGCAACACTACTAATGTAATTGAGCTACCAAAGCTGGTGGAATTGAAACTCGATGGCCTTCCTAATTTCACTATCATTTATCCTGAGAATACATCTCCGCAACATCTTCTATGCCCAGTAACATGTCTTCCAATCAACCATTCTTGAACAAAGAGGTACCTCTATATTAGTATTTATGCTGACAGTTTCATAGATTGTCTAAGTAATTAAACTCAACATGTCTTAATTATTGTGCAGATGCTAATTCCTAAGTTAGAGATATTGAAAATTCTTAGCATTGATAAGCTGAAAGAGATATGGCCTTGTCAATTTAGTGGTAATGACAAAGTTAATACCTGCATGTTGAGAGAGATTCATGTGAAGGAATGTGACAATCTTGTGAATCTGTTTCCAACACATCCAATGTTGTTGCTGCGTCATGTGGAAAAGATTAGTGTTTTTCAATGTGGAAGTATTGAAGTGTTATTTGACATCGACATGAGTTGTGTTGGTAAAATCAAAGAACACAATAGCAAATTGAGATACATTTGATAGTTGTGGAGGATGAAAGGTGAAAGTAGCTTTAATATCCTCATCCATATCTTTCAAGTTGTTAGAAGCATAGTAATAAGTGGGTGTGAGAGCTTTGTAAACATATTCACACCAACCGCCACCAGTTCTGATGTGAGAAGTTTTATGAATGTTAGTATAGATGGTGGGAGACCTCGGGAAGAAAGCAGGAGAAACATTGAATTGGCTCAAAAAAGCCAAGAGGAATGTGATAGCATTGAGCTTTTGATTTCCATTTCTGTTTTGATGATAGAGCCCTTATGTAGATGTGTCTCTAGATACACACTAACACGTATGTATGTGTATGTGTATGTAAATGTGTGTGAGTGTGTGTACATACGTACATATACATGTATACATATCATACTACAACAAATCAATAAATTCTACACAGTTCTTTAGATGTATTCACACTTGAAGTGTATAAGATGTATTAACTTGCCGACAATTTATTTCTAAATATTTGCACATCAACACATGATTAAAAAAAAAGTTAAAAGTCCAAATTTAAATACGTGGACAAATTATTTATATAACTACCGTTTTAAGTTTGGAAAAGTAGCACATTGTCAAGTGTGGATCTCTCTCAACCTACATATTATTATCTTTAGAGTAAATTACACGATTTGTACCTCATCCAAGTGTCAAATTGCACGTTTGGTTTCTACTTTATAAAATTACCTCGGACCGTCTCTATAATGTTTTTTTTTTCTCCGTCTCTGATAAATATAAAATGACTCTTTTACCCTTTATGTTTCCTTTTTTGATATATTTTTTTGCTTTGTTTGTTATTAACAATTAAAAAAATAATAAAAAATAAAGAAAAACAAAAAATGAGCCCACCACCGCAAACACTTATCCTTCTACCCTAACCCCATCCACACCCTTCAATCCTTAACTTATGTTTTCTTAGTGTTTTTTAATACTTATGTCAAACCTAACATCTTGTTTGTTGAACCTCAGAAATACCCATTTTGCCCTTGTTTTTATTATTAAGCCATCCCTCCTGGTGATCATCTCAGCCCCTTCCATGCCTTGTTCTTCAAATACTTGAAGGACATCTTACTTCAATTGTTTGTTGAATCTCACCTGAAGCTTGATGATTATATATATATATATATATATATATATATATATATATATATATATATATATATATATATATATATATATATATATATATATATATATATATACCCTTTGTTGAATAGTCATTTAAGAAGGTGCATGGAATGATAATTTGCTATAACATGAAAATTTCAAACACAACACTGTCAATCCCTCAATAGAACACGGTTAATATATCATCTCATTGTGGTACAACAATTTACAAAAACACAGAACTTTCAAATCCAAACTTCACAAAAACATAAAAACACAATCCGTGAATGAGCAAAGATATAAAGTCATCTTTTTTAAAACTTAAAAGAAACTATTGTACTGACTAGTAAGAGAATCCTTAAGATTTTGATAAAGCCCAAACAGAGAGTACTGACGAAGATTTTTAACCTCATACCATGAATTAAAAACCGATTCATGTTTATCAGTTCCAGAAAACGCAAGCTGTATTCCAATGCTACAATCAACTGTTCCTCCTCTGTTCTTGCAAGAATTAGTCCTGATTGCACAATCCTGATTGTTAAGACACACAAAGTTGCTTTTCCCTGAACATGAAGAACACCCGTCTCTTTTCCAAAACAAGTTCTGTAGTCTCCCCTTTTGGAACTCCATCGCCTGTAGTCACAAAATGATAAAACCTTTACTTAAAGTGATGCCCAATGAAATAGTGACATGTCAGCGGTAGTTGATATGATTATGATCTTACTAGGGTGAAACTGGTGACGATGTAGGTGCTGTTTGCAACAAAGGCAGGGATTGATCTTGCTGCGTATTTTCTACCAGCAAATGCCACCATATACCCACCAACGTTATCCTGTGTCAGTCAATATATGAAGAGAAACAAAAAAATATCAAGAATTAAACAGGTTTGTTCCCAATTTTCCTAAAGGGGGCAATTATACACGAACAGATCTATGGAGGGCTGTGATGAATGTTCACTGTCTCCAAAACAATCACTTTCTATCTAATTTCATGAACTCTTTCTGGTTCATAAACCTTATGGCCATTAATACCTTCCATTTAGTATCAATGCGGAGGCTGGACGTTCAAAGCTTGTGAACTGCAGAACCCTAAATTGTTTGGCCTCTAGACTACGTTGTCCTCATCGATTATTCATGCTAAGTACAGATCCAAACTCAATCAATCTACAAAATTTATTATATAATCGCAATTAAAATCGACAAAATTGAAAAAATACCGGTGGAAAAGTACTGCTGTTGACCGTGAGAAGGGAGATCTCATCTACTTTTGGGCGAAAGACGGCGAGTTGTGAGTTCGAAAGAGAAAGCCTCCTATCGCAAGGTGACAACTGAACCGAGCTGTTGAAGAAAAACGCAGTCCTCGACGCAAAAACGATTCCGAAAGTGAAACCGTCCGATCTCTGTATGGTGGTATCGGTGCACGGCGAGAAGACGTTGTTATTGTCGCTGCTCGGTTCGACAAAACGCGTCGTCGTGGAGAGAATTGTTACGGCGACGATGAGTAGGATTGAAGTAACCGGAATCGCCATTGCCGCCGGGAAGATTCGAAAACGGTCTAACGATGTTGACTCAGGTTTTGAAGGTTTTGTGCCTGTGTAGGTTGGAGTGAATTGACGCCGTTAGATTTAGCACGATGATGAAGCCCGAAGACAGCTAATGCTGCTATGCGTTGGGTTCTACGCATATTAGTACAATTTTTGTTGTAATAATCACAAAAATAACAATTATGGATTTTGTTATTTGAATGTTTCTTTTAAGTTTGATAAAAATTACTACAAAACTTTTTAAAATAGTAATACGTTTTATAGAAAGGTATTACGGATATGTTCTTATAGCATAAAAAATGAACATTTATTTTGTAATAAATAGGTTCATTATGAAATATATTTATGTTATAAACTATTATGATTATGAAGTATAAGGCTATTGTTAATTTTTTTTAGGAATTTTAACTTGTATTTTGCCATTGAGTGTGTAATTACTTTTCACAATTTACATTGTAAATTAGTTTTTAGAGTAAATTACACGAATGGTCCCTATGGTTTAAGGTAATTTGCGTGTTTGGTCCCTAACTTATTTTTTTAACTCGGAAGGTCCCTATGGTTTGTTTTTGTTACGCGTTTGATCCCTACTGTTTATTTTTGTTACGTGTTTGGTCCCTATCTTATCAAAAAAGATTATTATTTAAAGAGGAAAAAATAATGGGATAGGTGAGGTAAGGTGGGGGGGGGGGGGATTAGGGGAGTGTTCATTTAAATAAATTAAAAAAATCAAGGGCATAATAGTCTTTTTAGGTAAGATAGGGACCAAGCGCGTAACAAAAACAAACAGTAGGGACCTTCCGAGTTAAAAAAATAAGTTAGGGACCAAACGCGCAAATTACCCTAAACCATAGGGACCATTCGTGTAATTTACTCTAGTTTTTATTGTGAAATCTGTATATTTTGTTGTATATAATTTATCTTAATACTTCAAAATATTGTAATCTTTATCTTTAATAAAAGCATTCATAATGCATTGAACTCATTAAAATTTAATGGATTGACACATTACTTTTCTAATCTCCATACAACTTTACCAAAGTTTTTTTACAGTGTATTAAATTCTACAAAGTTCAATAAAATATATTTATAAAATCTAATTTAAGATATATTTAATAGTTGAAATGTTTCATTTTTCTCATTGAATAGTTCAACGGTCATTGAACTTCATATCGATTGAATGCTAGCATGGTATCTTACAAATGGTATAGTATAATCCATTGAATGCCAATTAGACATGTCATCTCATTCAACTCTCTCATTGAATTGTATATTATGAATGTTCTAAGTCTCAAAACGTATTTTTATTAATCAAAATAATGAGTTATGATATGGATTTTTTTTTTTTTTTTTTTTTTTGGGTATAAACCTCTTTAACCTTTCTGATTTCATGACAAAAAATAATGTTTAACAGATAATGAAATCAATTTATTTTTCCAATATTTATAAATGAAATACATTATCTAAACTAATTGACAATAATCACGTCATTCACTCTATAGATGTTGTTCATGCTTCTTCATTAAATATGGCAACATTGTTTTGTTGTCAATAGTAATAAGTTTTGCTAGTGAAGGCGTAATTGGTTATACTGAATATGAATCCAGCTAGACTTCTGATTAGAATCAAACAAATTTAAATAAAAGATAAATTTTGGAAAGATAAATAGATAAGTATAATCTCAATACTCCCTCCCAAAATGGAGTCTGTAGTAAGGATAAGATATAAATTTTGGAAAATCAGTCTGGAATCGGAACTGGTATAACCAGAAAATGCTTAAACGGTCTGGGTATTAGATCTAAAAATTAGTCTTATTCGGGTTTCGGGTATTCCTAGAGGTGGCAAAAATTGGCACGACACGAAACCCAACACGAACCCGACACAAAATAAACGGGTTTGGTTAAGATATTTCAACCCGTTTAAATAAACGGGTTGACACGACACGGCACGAAAATTAAACGGGTAAGGTTAGGGTTGAGAATTTCAACTCGAATATGACTCGAAAATGACCCGTTTATTTATATGCAAATTATTTGAATTATTTAAATAAATTAGAAAGTTGCAAAACCAAAATCATAAGTAAAAGAAAACCTTCTAATTGAGTCGTTTTGTAATGTTGAAATGACTTAGCTGTCTAGATGAAGACTTAATTTCAGTTTTTCCATTCTCTCCCAAACTATCCAGTCTCTTTCACCAATCTCACATCCTCACGAACTTTTCATCCACCTGTCCAACTCCCACTCTTTTAATTTTGTCATCTGAACTTGCTATGACTTCATCTATTTTGTCTCCAAACTCTTAGTTTTTCCTCTCCGCCTACCTAACGCCTACTCTTTCAACATGCTTAATTTTTTAACCTCACATGACACGATATATTTCAAGGTATAGCCCTAACCCGAAACCCGACACGAACTCAACACGAAAATAAACGGGTTGACACGACACGACACGTTAATTAAATGGGTCGGGTTAGGGTCAAACACTTTCAACCCGTTTAGTGTTTCGACACGACACGACACGATTGCCACCTCTAGGTATTCCAGGTATGGGTATTTCGGGTTTTAGAACTAGATTTGTAAAAGAAAAAAAAATGGAACCAGTTTATTATACCCTAGACAGGAATTTGAAAGGGTACTTAAAAAAAGACGCATACCGATTCAATTTGAAATCGACGAAAATGGCTACTCCTCTCATGTGAATGTGATCGACATCGACGACAAGGGCTACTTAAATCAATCTCATTTTTTTTATTCCCTTCTCTGTGATAGACGACAACTACAAGAGGGACGTAAAGTAAAACTTTATCTTTTCCTCTCTGCGATCAACATTGTCTATCACATTCATCCTATTTTTATTTTTCTTTCATTCATTCACAATTGAACTTCAAATCAATCTCCTACATTCAATTAAAGAGCAATTATGGATAATTGGGTAGATAACAATCAAGATAAGCAAGTAAGTTGTCAAGAATTTTGATTTCATGTGTTATGATGTTTGTGTTTTTTATTGTGTTTCAAGATTAGTGTTTTTATTGTAAATATTATCAGTTTGTTACCCAATACATTGTTCTTTGTATCTAATGCACTGAGTTGAGAGGTAACGTCTTAAGAATCATTATTCATTGTTACTTTTCACCTCAAATGCTGTAAGTGGTTGAACTGTCCTCGGATCTGAAATCGATCCACTCAAGCTCCTAAACATTAAAGATTTCCTTTTAAATACTCCCTTTCATAATCATATCCCCTTAAGATACAACTTTGGTCAAAGTCAAAGTCAATACCCTGGTTAAAGTCAACATTCTAGGTTGACTCAACTCGCCGAGTTTTCAGGCTACTCGTGGTTGTGATAAATGAGTCTACTCGTCGAGTTCCTCTATGAACTCGTCGATTTCTTCAGTCTAATAAGACTTTGTTAATAGGTCAAGCCCCTACTATTCAGATCTAAGCTCCAAGTTTCATAAGCACACTGAAAATGTCCTTTTAAGGGTAAAGTTTCCACATTTACTCGTTAATACCTTTCCTCAATGGATTTAACTTAAACCCTAACTATTTAAGACCTATATTTTGATCTAAAAGCCGTTAATACTTTAAGCTAAGGCATACAAACTGAGATCTGTACCCTAAACATTGCATGAACACGTAAAGTCGCTGACTTTCTCTCCATGCATGGGCTTTTGGAGCTTAAAAGACCAAAATGACATCCTAAAGCTTGCATGGGGTTCAATGGCCATAAAGTTTTCACCTTTATGCCAGGAAAGCCCTTCAAAGTCCTAGATCTGGAAGTATACTTACTTGGGAAGTCTATTTCCGAACGACCATGCTACTTGGACCAAAACCTTTATGCTACTCGAATGTTGCTTGCTTTGTGCTTTTAGGAGTTCTCATTAACATCATCTAACTAGTAAATGAATGCGCTTGGTTACATATTTTTGAGATTAGATAATTTTACAAGGTTATGTTAACTCTACTGTGTAGCTCTCGTTTGAGTCCAACTGTTGTAGTGTAGTACCTTTCATTCGAAGAATTATCTAATATTGGTAATATCTAATTGTAATCGTGTAAATTTTATGGGGTATTAGAGGGAATTCCTTCTGCAGCTGATAGCGGAGAGTGGTCTGGGAAGGAACCTAAGGAAAGCCTAGGATATGTCTTGACGCATGGTGTACTCTATAGTACGAGTGAGGTAATAGATAGTAAGGAAGCGACTTGGAGGGTGGGTTCAAGATTATCCTTAAGAAATGTATAGGTAGGTGTAGAAGGTAGTAATGGTCCCGTACTACTGAAAGCACAAGATCTATACCCAAAATAATGGAGGCTTTTATGAATTCGAGAAACTTTAGGAGTGTAAACCTCTTCGTGCATATATTGATTATTTTGTATTATGTTTCAACATGGTGATGACATGTGGCGAAGAAGGAGGTCCATGATCTGGGTTTGATTCAGGAACGAGCACCAAACCAATTGACGAGGGATTGTGCGAGTTCATCACATATGAGATCATGATAGGCATCCATGATGCGACCCTGATGATGTTCAAGTCGATCAAGGTGGGTATCATCAAGCTGATGGAGGATCGTCTCCAGACCTATAGGTTCAAGCTAGCTACTGGTCAGTATGGAGTCCACATTCTATCCTTCAAGGATTTCAGGGGATGTAGGGCGTCAGAATTATTTGGGGGTGAAGGAACCCATTGCTACCTGACGATGGATATATGGAGTGTGCTCAGATGACTAGTTTCTGCCCCGAGGGGTCGAAGGTGAGGTTCGTTGCAGACTGTCTGAAGGATAGAACCCAAGATTGGTAGGGATAGTTGACATTCTACCATTCCGACAGAATAAAATCGAAAAATATATTTATTAGTTTATGGTTTGCATTCTATCATTCTGACAGAATAAAATCGGATTTTTAAACTTGAATTAATTTAAAATATTCAGATTTTTAAATAATAAAGGAATTAATCATCCCTAAAAATCCGAAAATTTCCTTTTTTAATATAGGTTAATTAACTAAAATGCCCTTATGTTGAAATTTGTGTGATTATACGGTACATGTTATCATATTCTACTATCATATACCCTCAGATCATGACCTTTGATTATATTTCATCCGATGTTATCATATTCTACTATCATATATATAGTTTTTAATTTTAAAAATTGAAAAAAATTAACAAATGGATATTATTTATTTCAAAATACCACAAAATGACAAATATAAAACTAATGAGAGACTGATATATGGTTAACACATTGGTAAAATGTAAAAAATATTGTGATGAGAAATAGAAATATAATTTATTTCAAATTAGTTACCAAGTGTTTTTTTTTAATGAAAAAATTTTAATACTAAGAAATCAATTATAATTTAGTTTTTTAACAGATTTAAATTGGTTACAATTTTAGTTCCCTATTTAATATTGTTTAAACATAAAGAAAATGTATATTAGAAAATCTTAAATAATTTATTTGAAATTTGATATTATAAATCTAATACATGATTTATTTGAACTTTAAAAACTAAATTAATAAAGAAAATTTTATGAGCTTGACACGTATCAACTTAAGAATAAAAAATAAAATTTTAAATTAATATTCTAAAAGATTAAAATATATCATAAGTTATGTTTATTTATTAGATAGTATAGATAGATATAAATAAATATATTCTCTAATTATTTAATTTAACAAAGATATTTTTTATTCCCATTTTACCAACAAATAGATATTTTAGATTCTTGAGTTTCAAAGGTCATATTCTACAAATCCATTAAGATGCCAAGAAATAGTGGCTTAAACATGAAAAGAAGATAAATTTAGAGAAATTTATTGTTTAATCAACTCGTTTAAGCTTTAGAAATTCAAAAGGGGAAATGTTATGAAAGAGAGTGCAACCACGCGTGTAAAAAGTAGGCAAATCGAAAGATGCCTCGACAGAGATTTTTTCACGCTTATCAAAAGTTTATGTGAAGAAGTAAATAAATTCCCAAAAGCCATACTCTTTGCCTGGACTCGAGCCCAGAATGTTTGCTTTTTAATTCTCTTCTTACACAGATTAGCTTAGCTGCTTTCCTTACCCATTATTTATAACTCAAACCTTTTAATCTTAATGCCTGTTGAATGTCTGTCCAATCCCCATCATTTATCAGGTATCTTGGTTTCCCCTATTACCTGAAAGATGAAAACCCTCATCTTCTTGTCTTAAATTTTGTGAAAATCTGAAGGAATCACTTCTTTAAATCAATGGAAGCAAGATGGGATCCGGATTTCTGTTTCAAGACTTTCAGAATCTTTAATTCAAGGTTTACGCCGCTGTTTCTGTTGTTTTGCCTTTCGTTCTCGACACTTTCTTCTTCACTTACTAACGAAGATAACGTGCTCGACGAAATTACACTCAACATACAAGACAGAGCTTCACTTCTCCTGTTCAAGTCACAGCTCCATGACCCGAATCAAAGATTGTCATGGGTCGGTTCGAGTTGCACCAACTGGACTGGGGTGAGTTGCTCGAGATGGAACGGTCGGGTTGTTGCACTCAACCTCACTGGGTTTAACCTCTCCGGCCAACTTCATTCAAGCTTGTGTAAACTCTCATTCCTCGAAACCCTATATCTGTCTCATAACAATCTCGATGGCCAGATTCCAGCTTGTTTTAGTTTGTTTTGGAATATCAAAATCTTGGATCTTAGTCATAACATGTTTAGTGGTGTTATTCCTGATACCCTCATGAAATTGAGCAGATTAACCCATCTTGATTTTAGCCACAACCTGTTTGATCAAATGCTTCCGTACTGGATTGGGAACTTCTCAATGAAGCTAGAAAAACTCGAAATGGGATTTAATTCGTTTCGAGGGGGGATCCCCGAGGGTTTATTGCACTTGAAATCACTTAAATACTTGGGTTTATCTCACAATAATTTCTCCGGTGATCTCCCGGACTTCCGGCAAGCGTTGGAGCATCTTAGTCTCGTGTCAAATTCGTTTTCCGGTACGTTACCTTGTTTATCATCATCGGTTGAATCACTCTCTTTTCTCGATTTAGCTGAAAACTTACTCGAAGGTGGAGTTCCGACTTGCATTTCTTCCCTACGAGCATTAGAACATCTTAATTTGTCGTTCAATCATCTAACCTACGAGATTTCGCCAAGATTCCTGTTTTCGAATAGACTTGTTGTTCTGGACTTGAGTTACAATCAGTTGTCGGGTTATCTTCCTAAAAAAATTCTCGACTCACCGGAAAAGTCAGGGCTAATTGTGCTAGACCTTTCGCACAACCAGTTCTCCGGCGAAATCCCGCCGGATTTCACAGAGTTAAAAAGTTTACAAGCTTTATTTCTCTCCCACAATCTTCTCACCGGCGAAATCCCGTCAAGAATCGGAAACCTAACCTATCTCCAGGTAATCGATCTCTCTCACAACTCGTTATCCGGTTCAATCCCTCTAAACATCGTCGGTTGTTTCCAACTTCTCGCATTAATCCTCAACAACAACAATCTCTCCGGCGAAATTCAACCGGAGCTCGACGCATTAGACAGTTTAAAAATTCTCGATATCAGCAACAACAAAATTTCCGGCGAAATCCCATTGACGTTGGCCGGATGTAAATCATTAGAGGTCGTCGATTTAAGCTACAACAATCTCTCGGGACCTCTAAACGATGCGTTGACCAAATGGTCAAACCTAAGGTACCTTTCTCTTTCACACAACAAGTTCACCGGAGCTCTCGCCATTTGGATCTTCATGTTTGAATCAATCCAAACAATCGACCTCTCCGGCAACAAATTTTCCGGCGACATCCCCGACGGGATTTTCAACCTCAGTTTACATTTCAACAATGGCGAAGCTAAAGAAAACCCCAAAGCGCCATTGTTAGATAGTAAGTTTTCATTGGTGATGGGTGATGATCTGCATCTAAACTACAATCTTTCATCAACAGTCACCATTGATTTATCAGATAACTTGTTACATGGTCAAATCCCAGAAGGGCTATTTGGTCTACATGGTTTGGAGTATCTAAATTTATCTTACAATTTCCTCGATGGTCAAATTCCCACAAATTTGGAGTCAATGTGGAGGTTAAAGATTCTCGATTTATCGCATAATTCATTATCTGGTGAAGTCCCGGAAAATTTATCGGGGAATTTGACACATTTGAATCTTTCGTTTAATTATTTTTCCGGGATTGTTAATAAGACGAAAGGTTATTGGAGATTTTCGGGGGCGTTTGCGGGAAACCCTAATTTGTGTGTGGAGTCATCTGGCGGTGATGGTGGTGGTGGTGGTGGTTGTCTGACCGGAAAGTTGCCGGAGGAGCCGGAGAGGGTTTACGAAGAGGGGAAAGAAGATGGGTTGATATCGGGATGGGTGTTTTCAGTTAGTGCTTGTGTTAGTTTTTATTCGGTTGGAGTTGCTTTGTTTTGTTCATCAAGAAGTAGGAATTTTATGTTTCAGACGAAAGTTTAAATGTAGAAAGGGTAGATTACGATTGTATAGATGATGAATTTGCTAATGGGTTACATATAAAGTGTTTATCTTTTGTAAACATTTATGGTTTAGATGAATTTTAAACTATGAAATGAAATGAAATGAAATGAGTTCCATTTTGTATATAAAATAGAGATAGAGATACGCACGTCTTATGTCAAGATTGAGTCTTGAATTCATGACCATTAAAATTAAGAGTTGTGTGAATATTTTTGTTCTCATATAAAGCGAAAAGATTCCACTGTTAATTATTTGTTGGATGGAATATGTGCAATTTATGTGCAATTTGTGTGTTAAAAGCAATCTAGTTGGCTAGTTGTAGAAAAATTGGATGCCACCCTATGTATTGATATATTGTATGAAATTACTGTTTGTACTTGAAATCACCTTATAATCTTTTTTTGGGAATTATAACTATAACATTTATAAATCTCTATGGGGAGGGAAGGGAGGCCAGAGGGAGAAAAGGGAAGAAGATAGGAAGGAAAAAAATTAGGGTTTCCAAGTTGAAAACCCTAGATGCCTCAACTATAAAAGGAACCCCATGGCTCCAAAATCGGCACCTATGCATTCATAGAGAACCCTAGCCGATTTTGAGCCTCTCTAACCTCTCTCATAATTATCCATTGCTACTTGGTGTTTATGACTAATTAAAGGTGCAACACTTGAGACACTAAGCTCTTGAAATTCAAGATCAACTAGCTACGAGGAAAAAGTATTAATCTAACTTGGGTTTAGTTATCAATTTCGAAATTGTGTATGCTAGTCATAGGGTTTATGCTTTGGATGATTATTTGCATGTATAACTTGAGAAAAACTTAGATCCAAAGCATTATGGTTGCATGTACACCATATAAATGTTGTAGTACTCAAAACTCATTAGTGATATGAGAGACTAGGGTGGTTTTCTGTTATATTTGATGCGTTAATGAATTGTTCAAAGCAAAAAGAAAATCATTCTTTGGTTCTGCCTGATGATCACGTCGTGATGGCTCTCACGACGTGAGTCGGATGGTTCTCACGACGTGAAGTCGAGTCAGATAGCAGATTTTCTGGATTTTGCTTAAACTAGGCTTGGATAATTAGCATAAGTTTTTTACTAATTAAAAATTTTGATTTTTTGATATGGTAATTGATATCTTAACATATTTAGAAGATAATAGTCAAATGTTAAGATAATTACAAGCTTTTGTGATAAACTAATTATTTGTAAAATATGATTTGTATTTATCTTACAAATTAAAACTGGATTAGGTCAAATTTAGATAATCGTAAATTTATATGATTATTTTAATTATATTAAATTTGATCTACAAAGTTTTGAAAAGTTTCAAAACTTACCCTCAAATTTTGGAATTTAAAATTTGATTAAAAAAGTTTTAATTTTGAAAAGCTGAATTCTAAAACCCTAGTGTTTTAAAAGTTTAAAAATACACACTCATGGTTTTATTAATAATTTAATTAAAATATTAATTAAGAGACAATTAATAATTTCTTGACATGGTTTAAAATTAATTAAATTAAAAGATTAATTTATTAAAAGATTAAACCACCTAGTATTTTAAAAGTTTAAAATATATCATTATACTATTATAACATTAAAAGTTTAATTTATACATAAGTATAAGAATAAGTCAGTCTTACCATTAGTAGGCCTCATTCACGAAGCTGGTCTATAAGGGGTGTTTAAGGAAGCGGCCTGTAAAAAATAACTGTCATTGGGTATCCGCTCTTACCCACCACACCCTTGACTAGTGGAGGGTCGTTAGCTGAACGGGTAGGATAGGACACTAAGCTCTCATTAAAAGTATAATGAAAATACAAAGTAACTAAATCTTTTATACATTCCCAATCTTAGTTACTTAGGAAAATGTGAATTTGATGCTAACCTATGAAATTGCACTTTGCACGTTATTGTCGTTAGTGGAGCGTGTGTGGTTAACCGGCACACTTATATGGGACTAACGATGGATGAAAATAGGTTTCTCGTAAATTATTGTTGATTGATGGAGCGTGTGTGGTTAACCGACACATTGATTAGACGATAAATGATATCGAGAGTACCAAGTTAATTTGCATGGTTATTCACACCTCGTTTGGGATCCTCGGTATCACAGTCACAAACTTGAAGGGCCTAATCGAGATTAAACATGTCATTGAAAAGTTCAATGAATCTCAAAAGATCTAGGAATTTCATCTAAAACCTAATTCGTTTAAAATTTTGTTTTCCTTGTGGAATTGGTAAATCGTCATTTACCTACCTTCAGATAATTTGCAATTGGATTACGGCATCCATCTTCCGAATTGTAAATTATTATGTTGGGTCCTAGCCTTAATATTTCATTTAGGTGTTATATTAACGACTTAATCAACTAACTTGAATTTCTACCCTTTGTAGATGTCCAGTTTTGACAGGTATGGTCTTTGTAACATCCATAAATTTTATGCCAAATTTAAACTTTTTCAATCATAAATAAAATCAAACAGTGTTTGTTTACAAAAATGTTTTCAAATCAATATCCATCAGAGTGTCCCAAAATCATAACATAAGGATGAGGAGCGGTGCGGTCACGCCTTCGCCTTGCCATGATCTCCTGAAGTACGTGAAACAATAAACTGAAAACTGTAAGCCCAAGGGCTTAGTGAGCTACCCCCAAAATACCAATACCACACCGTTAATTCCATATCAATAACAAATAATCAACAACATGCATACCGGGCCTTCGGCCTGACTGGACCGCCCTACAGGGCCTACAGTCTATCTGGATCTATCCTGAGCCTTCGGCATGACTGGTCCGCCACGTGGGCCTACAGTCTTCTCGGACCGCTCATAGGGTACGTTGGCCTTCAGCACAAAGCAGGACCGCCTCAACCCAACCAACAAGAAAATAACCACATGCGCATAACTATCATATACTGGCATATACAACATCAAACACATCTATCTCACTGATCATCAATCATAGAATTCTCTCGTAACTAGAGCACCGACCTAGCAGGTCACTAACATACCAATCCCTACGGATCATAAGAGCATAACATATTGTCTACCCTGATTCCGATCTACCACGTGATAACCACACGTAACATACCATAACAATAACAACTAAAGGGTCGGCCTTGGTGCCGTAGACCCTATCGATATAATGAGGATAACTCACCTCACAGATGTCTACTCGAAAGGTAAACTCCAACTCTCAGATCACTTGACACGGGCTCCACCACCTATTATCATAGTACAACATACTTATAAGTCCTTAACCTTATAAAGTACTCCATAACCCATTAGTCAACCCCTGGTCAAGGTCAAAGTCCTCAGTCAAGGTCAATAGTCCATGTAGACCTTAACTCACCGAGTTCCTTGGAGCACTTTCCAACTCGCCGAGTCATCGGGGTGGCTCATCGAGTTCCTTCGATTTTCGATCAACCTTTAAGGCCACTCGTCGAGTTTCCTCCTTTCAACTCGACGGATACACACGCATACATATCCTGGAGAAAACTCATCCGACTCGCCGAGTTGTCCTTCAACTCATCGAGTTTATGGCAATCTTCATCAGACTTGCCGAGTTGTTCATCCAACTCGTCGAGTTCACGGCCATCTTCATGTGACTCGCCAAGTCAACCTTGCGACTCGCCGAGTCCATTCAGTTCTTTTTCCATACAGACTTGTTTTGATCCATGCAACGGCTCCAAATCATAGATCCAAGCTCCTAGGGCATGCTTATCACGTAAAATTGCAAACTTTACGTGCATGCATGGCTATAAAGGCTCTAAATGCCTATTTTAAGTTCTTAATGGAGCTTCATGCTCAAGAGGGACCTCAATCATGACCAAAACTGCAACTTTATGCCTTTAAAACCCAAGGAGGGTCCAGATCTGAAGTTACAACTTCAGATCTAGCCCATAACTCATCTTGTCAACTTAATATTCCATAAAAACCCTAAAACTCAACCAATATAAGAGATCTACAAAGAAAATGGCGATTTGGGTACCTCTAGAAGATGATAACTGAGATAAGTGTTGACTCCTACACTCTACTTGTTCCAATCTCCTTTTCCTCCAAGCCTTCTCCCTCCAAAGGTCCTCTTTTCAAGCTTCAAACACACAATGGGCACACACACACACACACGTATTAGGGTTCTCAAGGACTCTCTAGAACTGTAAAGAGGCCCAAGGGAGGCTAAGGTCCCTTTAAATAAGGTGCAAAACCCCGGGATTTAGGGTTTCATCTGCCAGCTCCTACTCGCCGAGTCTCAATATAGACTCGTCGAGTAGGTCACTTAACACACGATCCCACCCCGTTGCTACTCGACGAGTTGGGCAATCAACTATTCGAGTAGGGCTTAACCCAAGAAATGTTATTTAAAACAATACCTGAGAATCGGGGCGTTACAATCTTCCTCAATCCATTGGAAAAGGCATTCCATTCAAATATGATATTCCACATGTCGATCAAGGTGAAAGATCAATCCCTTCTTCGTGCAAAGGTGAAACTAGAAATCATACTTCTCTTCCTCTACCTCCTCCAATAATTCTCCTTGACCCAAATATCCATCGACTTGAAAAGTTCAAAGTCACTCAAGCCCTATTGGCAAACAAAGACCAAGATGGAGGGTCTGTGTGTGCACATGTCTTGAAGATGAAGTCAAACATTGATAGACCAGGAATGTTGGGTGTCGTTTTCCCGAGGAAGTTAGCTGTTGACTTGGTTCTTCAATCACTTCCTGAGTCGTATAGTCAGTTCGTTAAGGACTACTATATGACAAACCACGACGTAACCCTTAATGATTTGACATATTTACTAATTGTTGCTGAATCAACGATGATTTGGCGCACTGGTAAAGCAAAATTGATTGGAAGATCTACATCTTAAAATTCCATGGACATAGGAAATGACAGAGGTGATAGTCCATAAATAGTTTCTTCTCCTAAGGGAGAGAAATCGGCCATGGTAAAAAAGTTTGATCATAAGAGAAAGG